ATTCACAACGAGGAAAGTGACTGATTTTTTTACTTCGTCTAGCACACACATACAATATAAAAAGGACAAAACACAGGCCATTATTCCGAATCTATATTTGCTTTGGTTGGCAAGCGCAATCCAATACCGTTGTTCATGGAAACATTCCAAATCGATACAAATCAGACTCTCTCTTTCGCTCAAAGGCACGTTTCGGGTTTTAGAGCCGCCAGCAAGTCCCTAACCAGGAAAGGATGGTTTGTAGAAGTGGCCTCAGAAAGAGATGTATACCGGCTGATGTGTCTTCGGACACTGATTTCAAATCTGCCCTCCAAATCTGCTAAACGATTCTCCGAGCAGAATTATGGAGGCTTGTTGAGCAGACCACTGCTCGAGAACACCAATGCTCAACGGGTATCTAAATGATGGGTGTGTTCACTGAGCACATGGTCCCATGGCGCAGTGGAGAAGCGAGCCACCTGATGTGTGCATGGCCAAGGGTTCGGGTCATTCGTTAAGTCGTCGTTTTGCAGTTCTCATAAATGCTCTCTGCCCATCCTAAAAGCACTTTTGTGGGGCTAGGGGACCTGATATTACCGAAAAAGGTTATTTCCGAAGGAACGGAGCCATCCGGAACCCTCCTGAGGATACTCCCGATCGCTGGTTTCGGCGGCGGCATCTACTACTCATTAGCTATCCTACAAGGATGCTGAGTTGTGGGCAAAAGTCGGACCACGGGCGGGACTCGAACCCGCATCTTCTGCTTACCGGGCAGTTGCGTTACCACTTACGCTACCGGGGCCACTTTTGACCTCTCAGCTCAATGGCTATTTGTGCCATTGCCTTCGAGCACTCACACGTTCAACGTGATGAGCCGGTTAGCCGATATCGGCAGTGAACCGCAAGGCTGAAGGCTTTTTACAAGTTTTAGACTGTTTTTGTTTGATAACTGCTGTTTTACGCCGCAGTGCGCGATACGAAAGTTATCACAAGAATGCTGAGTTGTGGGCAAAAGTCGGACCACGGGCGGGACTCGAACCCGGTAAGCAGAAGATGCGGGTTCGAGTCCCGCCCGTGGTCCGACTTTTGCCCACAACTCAGCATTCTTGTGATAACTTTCGTATCGCGCACTGCGGCGTAAAACAGCAGTTATCAAACAATAACAGCTTAAAACTACTCATGTCGTTTGTTGTGTGCCATACTGACTCCACATGGTATGGAAGCCAAAAGTGAATGTCATGTTTGCGATCAGGACCGTCAGTTACCAACAAGGACTAAAATTTAGCGGAAAAGCTGCATTGCCCAGAGATTTTGATCGGCGATACTTCCAGCGACCTCAGGGGATTTGTTGCTGATTGTTAGCCTACTGTGTCGAAAATAGGTCGAAACCTTAGATTTGGTTCGAAACTTGCCTCTGTGACTAATTTGAGCCCCATAACACGAATATCACACTTGTTCGACGCATAAACGCTTGCCAAGGAGAGCCGCCGGTTCCTGCACACCCTGCCCCTCCAGAGTGTGAACAAGATGTTTTTATGAAAAATGACTGCAGTGTTGATTTCCAGAGCACCAGACACCTCTAGCTTCGGATTTTAGCGATTTTGAGGGTTTTGGTGTGCCTCACATACGTGTCGGGAATGGGTGTGACCTGGTCAAAAATTCCTGCATAACTTTGTCCAGGAGAATCGTTTAGCAGATATGGAGGGCAGATTTGTAATCAGCGTCCAAGGGACCCATCGGGCAGTATACATCTCATTTTGAATGGCCACTTCGACCAACATCCTTTCCTGGTAAGCAGCGGGGTTGGAAAATGAATTTGTACGTACTAGTTAACTTCGGCGGCGTAGCAAGTCTTCCATCAGGTCATCCAACCACACTAGGTTTCAAGGCTCGCATAGATCATTAGTTATGTCAAGACCTACTTTCAGTATAGATGAGGGATCATTGAAGGACTTATCGAATGCTTATTCTTTTCTTCGGTAGTGCTGTACAGCTTTTTTGCTTTATTTTATGGGAAGTTTCAGCATGTCATGAGATATCACAGGATCGGCTTTCAATTAATCTCGGCATCAGAGACGTAATAATTCAGAATGTTTCTTCAGCCTCCCGAGATTTGTACAGATATTTATTGGACTAACGTTTCGGCGAACATCGCCTTCTTCGGAGCCTGCAAGTCGAAACCTATCATCGAAACAATTCACTCAAGCACCATTTCTAATTACAGTAAGAAACTACGGGCTAGGATATCTTAGAACTAAGTCGAAAGCCACCAACCTTTTGACGGGTAGAACTTCTACCGGGCACTCTGAGTTTCGAGACTACAAGACGGTAGCTTATATATGGTTTTAATAACTCTGAGTGACGGGTCAGAGGGCTTGAGGGAACATACAAAGGGCATGCCATCCGCTGTAATTAGGACACAAACCTTAAGGAACTAATTTGAAAACGCAGAGGTCGGTCCTCCGCTGAAGCGTGAAGAACCAGCCTCTGGGGAATTGTAATTTGAAATTTTTAAGACTGGACCGAAACTTATAGACCCCCCCCCACAGGGTTCAATCATGTAGATCAATAGTCCCACTGGCTGCCAGATGATGGGGGTCCCTGCGGATCGCCGCGCATTCAACATGATTATCGATTTAAAGGGTAATACTAAGTAAGCCCCCTCCGCGCCCCCCGCGGGGGTATTGAATGCGTAGATCAAAGGGTGCCAGCTCTCTGGTGATCGCAATGCACTCTTCCTTCCTATTAATTTGAGGGTTCTTAGAGGCAATCCACAAGGCTTCGAGTGTCTTGCGGGCCGAAACATCCTGTTCACGTGCCAGGATCGTGGTTTTCACCGCAATGTCCACACTTTGATGTTTTTGAGCCTTGTGGTCGCCGAGAGGAGTGCATATCTTGGACTTCTTCATCATGAGATAGTACTCAGAACTTGGTTTGGGCCAATAGCATCCGCTAAAAGGTGGCGATTTGGAAGCTAACGATAAGTTGAGTGAGACGATGTTGAAGGACCACTGTAACATTACTAGACATATTTACCGTCCCTCTGTGAGATATACCGCGTATTGACCTGCACTATCGGGAAACTTGCACGACTCCCGTTAACTTCCTCATGAAGAATAAAGGAGAGAGCAGCCGAAAACGTCCTGAATATCATACTTTTCCGGCAAGCTAGAGGAGAAGATTCTTTGGATCCTAGCTGAAGAACCACACAAAAACAGCGAGAAAGAAGGCAAGCAAGACGACGGATGTCAAAGTGGGTGGGGGTCATTGGTGCATGGGCGGGCTGGCTATATGGAGGACAACTGTGCGCTTCAACACCCTTACAAGTTTACGAGCGAAACTATTACGAAGACTGTCTGTTGTTGCTCGTCTACCTTTCTGACACAGGGTTAAGATTAGAATAAATTGCGAAATATGTTTTTGGAGAGAAAGTTGAAGTGAGAAGGTATTTTACAAATATGTGCACATGAGCGCAATTCAATCACAGCCTTGGACGAAAAAAAACATTCGGAAATCACCAAGCTTTCCAAATAAATATATTCTCAATTTTGAAACATACATCCGTAGTAGCTAAGGAATTTAGTTCCCTAGATTTATGGATAATTACATTTGTTTGCAGGCCACTGCAAAGAAAATCCACGAAGAAGAATGTATCAGGAGACAAAGAGAAACAGTCTCAACAGCTCCGAGCCACTGTCGGGAACTTATTGATATCACTTCTCGGAGAGGAAGACTGCTGCCATTTCCTCCATCATCTGATCATCTCTATTCTTGTAATGAGCACATGCCCTAGCACAACATCACGCATCGCAACAACAGTCTCCTTGTCAGCCACGTTCTTGAGGAGTATTTTGCAGGTCACCTCACCCTTAAAACGTAGATTTCAAAAATCTGCCATAAGTGCTACAAATACACATGAACATTCAATAAAATATGCCCCTTTTTGACCACACACTAATATGTAGCAGAAACATTTCTCACTCTTGATCGCTGTAGATGGGAAAGGAGGAGGCACAACGAAACTCCTTCGTCGTCATCCGATACAAGGCGCTCTTTTGAGGCGTCAAGTTCCTGGAAAGATATTACTTGGCAAAAAGTATACAAGCGTTTTACCACTACTGCTGCATCACTATAAATTTTTTACCGGTGGAAAAGAAAGATAGGCAATATGTGACAAAGCGTTTTCAGATAGCTTCCTATCCATTTCTTCTGAGGCTTCATCCAGTAAGTCGCTTACTGACGAAAACACGTAAACCTGAACGATTCTTTTGATTTCCTTTCTTGATAAAAAAGTTGAGGAATGAAACGAAGAAACCTTCATCTATGTTCCTTTACTGAAACTGTTTTTGGCACCCATGTCTCAGCATTAGTGCTAATGTGTTAACTCATTCCACCCTCCCATCCCCCCCTCCCCTCCCCAACTACTTTTCAATCTTTCAAAGTTTGGTGCGACTGTGAGAATTTCCTGTTTATCTGGCCACAGGTTGGACTTCCTTGCAAGAGTAGCTCAGTGTTGATTAATACTTATTAACCAATCTTACTTACTCTAATCTAATACTAATCTTAATTACTTACCTATCTTACTTATTAACTAATCAATATAAAGTGTGATGGTTAGGCGAATATAGGCACTCAGCCGTGCCGACTGTGCCCACGTTCTTATGGACAGTTCGTAGGAACCCTGCAAAGGGACGCTACCCCCTCATACCTGCATGGTGGTAAGGCATGGTCGCGCAGAAGTGTGTGACAGAGGGTACGATTGCTGGACGCAGGCGGTTGTTAACAGCGCTATTGGTGAAAGTTCTGCGAGAGGGCGGCAACAACCGCGCTCCCCCAGCAATCGTGCCCATTGCACTTCTTAACGACTGTGGTGATCTAATCATCTTCAATCAGCGGCTAAGCTTGTCTTGTATGTTCGCATCAGTTTAGTTCGGGAGGTTGGTAGTTGCAAGTGGTGTCGCTTGACAAGGGCACTGTCGGAGAGAAGGTCAAGTTTCAGACAAGCTTTCGCACAGATCCATCAAGCCTTCCATCCCTCTTGGGCAGACCATTTGGTACTTTGAGGAAATCAGAACATTGGCCTGACAAGTACATGTCAGCTCGCATTTAAAGGCATATCCCCTTTCAGAGCAGATGCAGTAAGCAGAAGCGGAATGCCTGATGCACCTCAGAAAGATCGATCAATGAACGAAGCGTACGATTCAAGAAATCTTCCTCAAGGTCAAGTTCAGGGCATGTCGTACATCGCGAAAACCTTAGCGGTGGTGTATTTGTCCTGAGAAAACTTTCCGGGTTGTATTTGATTGGGAAGTACTCAGCTGCTGGCGCTGCAAAACCAGTTCTAGTAGCTTATCGAAGCTGTCTACCACCTATCTCCCGTCGCGAGTTGGGGAATCCCCAACGGAAATCGGAAACAAAATTGGCGGAGACATATTTTCCAAAATTTTTTCCCAAAACCATTGCGTGCCCTCGCAGGATTACATCGAAGTGGGCGGACTTGCGAATTGGTATCCAAAGTTCCTACCCCCTCCTCAAGTATACTTGCAACGGTGCCGACCACTGCCCTTCTGCGCAGGCTGTCCTCTCCCCTCTTTTCCGCAGCTTTCATATATTGCCATGACTACATATCTGTATTTTAGCTGACTTATCAAAAGCGCGGTTTGATTTTTCGTTCCATTGAATTCACCGTTCCTTATGAAACTGCCGATCCCACATAATCTGCTGAGTATGCGTGGAAGGTGGTGGATGGTGCGGCTGGCATCAATACTACGGTACATTTACCGCTATTGTCGCTGTGTCTCTTCATTGCACCTTTTACTGCGCATAAATCGCCCGCAACCACCTCAAAATAATCATGGGTTGCAGAATCACTGTCTTATAAACCACTTACTTGTTCTGTCGGCCTGTACCCCTCTCAGTCCCTCGATACCGGTCGAGATTCACAAGCTGACACATAGAGTTAGTGATTCATATAACATAGTGATACTGTAGCTCAACAGTTACAATTCGAGTGGTGCGGACGAGTTGTCCAGAGCAGAAGATACAATGCAGAGACACGACTGGATGGCTACTGACCAATGCGCCCTAGCACTAATAGCAGCCGCACCATTCGATATACACCCATCAGTACGGTTTCTCTCTCATCCCTACTTGACTTCCTTGAATCAAGTCCACTGCTACTGTGGCCACGCTATAGATTCTCTTCTACTAACGTCCCTTGTCAGGTATTATCAGCCATTATTTCTTCTTGGATTTCCTCTAGGAAATGATGTAGAGGTGGGACTGGAACACCACTGATGGGTTACAGGAAGAGATAACTACTGATAATATTTGATTAGGGACGTTGGAAGGGGAGGATCACCAGAATTTTAGCGCGGGGCACAGTGGAGCGCTAGTTCCAAGAAAAGATGTAGTGGTGAGACGGAAACCCTCTTGATGGGTGACATAAAGCGATAACAACGCTAATAAGTCAGTCATGGTTCTAAATTTCCAAAGCAGGCTCAATAGCTGCAGTATAGTTACTCCCTGCAATCCTAGTTTATGTCCGTTCCCTTCTCAGCAAACAGATGCTATGTATCCGAAAAGAAAAACTATGACGAAAACAGACTTGGCCCCTCACCTTGTTGGTGAAATGTCCACAAAAATCGAACCATATTGTGACAGATAGAGCCAACTCTTTGAAACGTGCATACACGGGATTCGGCAATTCTAGAAGAAAGATTTTATGAAATGCAGTGCAGGGCCGTTAATCGAGACCTACCGTGCATAAGTCTCCAGTGAATGGTGTGATGGTCAAAGGACATGGTATGTCCGTCCCAAACCAAAGGATCGGTTAAA